CTCAACAAAATGGATTGACACAATGGCTGCATTGATTGGTCCAAACCTGACAACAATTGTGAGGATGGTACAACACTGGGCAGTGTTTTGTTTTGTTGTACACAGGACAGCTGTGGGTCAGGACCTACTGGATAGCACCCACCTACAACAAGAATAGATCATAAAGGAGAATGGCTTTTAGACTTTTCAAAAGCCACAATGGCAGGGAGAATGTGAAAAAATTTAATGAAAACTCTTTCCAACCTAATTCTCAACCCAGGCAAACTAGAAATCAAATGTGGCCGTAAAATAAATACATTTTCAGATAAGCATTATCTAATACATTTTTTTGGACCAGAGAATGTGTTCTAACAGAACATTTAAAAAAAAGGGGGGCGGGGAGACAGCATATCGTGGATCTGACAAACAAGAGAAGCAAAACATTATGGCAAAGGGAAATTGCTGAATATAAGAAACATCCTGCCCATAAAATCTAAATAAAGATTTTTTCCCCCCAAGATGAAGGTACCACCGCTTTTTCCAAGGATTTCATGCCTTCTTTTTTTTTGTGGGTAATTTCATAAGCTAGCAATGCAGACCAGGAATGAGAAATGAGTAAAACAGTAAAATTTTTAATAGTACCAAAAATCCAAACACTTAAAGCTAATAAAATATATACAGGAAATATATACTGAAAAGTACATATTACTAATGAAGGAAATCTAAGACTATCTAAACAAATGGAAAGATATATTGTGTTTAAAGATCAGAAAATGGATGTATACATTTAATGAAATTCCACTTAAAATCCCACAATTTACATATATAAAAAAATAATAAGCTGATTCCAAAATGCACATGGAAAAGCAAAAGAACTAGAATAGCAAAACAATCTAGAAAAACAAAATTGGAGTATTCACTTGATACAGACTTAATATCAAGCTAAAGTAATCAAGACAGTAAGGCATTGGCTAACGGACAAGGCTAATGAGAATGAAATTTTAAAATGGCCTCCTGTGTATAGTCAATGAGTTTCCCACAAAGTTACAGAGGCAACTCAATGAAAACAGGTTAGTCTTTTAAACAAATAGTGCTGAAACTGGCCATTCCATATGCCAAAAATATAACTGAAACTCCTATCTCACACCATACATAAAAATGATTGAGATCAAAGGAAAAATTAAAACAAAATATCAAGGAGAAT